TGTTTTGATGGTGTCCCGGTCATGTTGTGATGGTGTCCCGATCATGTTTTGATGGTGTCCCGGTCATGTTTTGATGGTGTCCCGGTCATGTTGTGATGGTGTCCCGGTCATGTTGTGAGCGCGGTCATGTTGCGATGGTGTCCCGATCATGTTTTGATTGTGTCCCAGTCATGTTGTGATGGTGTCCCGGTCCTGGATGGTGTCCCGGTCATGTTTTGATGGTGTCCCGATCATGTTTGTTTTGATGGTGTCCCGGTCATGTTGTGATGGTGTCCCGGTCATGTTTTGATGGTGTCCCGGTCATGTGATGGTGTCCCGGTCATGTTTTGATGGTGTCCCGGTCGTTCTGTGACGGTGTCCCGGTCATGTTTTGATGGTGTCCCGATCATGTGATGGTGGCGCAGTCATGTTTTGATGGAGTCCCGATCATGTGATGGTGGCGCGGTCATGTTGTGATGGTGTCCCGGTCATGTTTTGATGGTGTCCGGTGTCCCGGTCATGTTTTGATGGTGTCCCGATCATGTGATGGTGGCGCTTATGTTGTGATGGTGTCCCGATCATGTTTTGATTGTGTCCCAGTCATGTTGTGATGGTGTCCCGGTCCTGTTTTGATGGTGTCCCGGTCATGTTTTGATGGTGTCCCGGTCATGTTGTGATGGTGTCCCGATCATGTTTTGATGGTGTCCCGGTCATGTTGCGATGGTGTCCCGGTCATGTTTTGATGGTGTCCCGGTCGTGTTGCGACGGTGTCCCGGTCATGTTTTGATGGTGTCCCGATCATGTTTTGATTGTGACCCAGGCATGTGATGGTGTCCCGGTCATGTTGTGATTGTGTCCCGGTCATGTTTTGATGGTGTCCCGGTCGCGTTGTGACGGTGTCCCGGTCATGTTTTGATGGTGTCCCGGTCCTGTTGTGATGGTGTCCTGGTCGTGTTTTGGCGGTGTGCCGGTTGTGTTTTGATGGCGACCGGGTCATGTGATGCTGGTGCCCCGGTCATGTTATGATTGTGACCCAGTCATGTTGTGATGGTGTCCCGGTCATGTTTTGATGGTGTCCCGGTCCTGTTGTGATGGTGTCCCGGTCATGTTTTGATGGTGTCCCGGTCGTGCTGTGACGGTGTCCCGGTCATGTTTTGATGGTGTCCCGATCATGTTTGTTTTGATGGTGTCCCGGTCATGTTGTGATGGTGTCCCGGTCATGTTTTGATGGTGTCCCGGTC